CTAATCTTCGGGCCGTGACAGAGTTCCCCAAGCGGACATCCGTCAAGGAACTGCGCAGTTTCGTAGGACTGTGTTCCTACTTTCGGCGCTTCATTCGAAACTTCGCGACTATCATATCGTCGCTGACGAAGCTTCTCGGAAGTAACGGGCCTCTTCATTCGTGGTCATCACAGTGCGACGACGCTTTCACAACACTTCGTCGTTTGTTGACGTCGCCTCCCATACTCCACCACTATGACCCTACGGCCCCTACAGAGGTACACACGGATGCCAGTGGTGTCGGCCTCGGCACTGTCCTTGCGCAGCGCACACCAGGGTTCCCAGAATATGTCGTGGCGTATGCAAGCCGTACACTTACTAAAGCCGAGACTAATTACACAGTCACCGAGAATGTTTGGCAATCGTCTGGGCCCTTGCAAAGTTCCGACCTTGTTTGTATGGTCGCCCATTTGATGTCGTCACCGACCATCACGCACTATGCTGGTTGTCGTCATTGAAAGATCCCTCAGGCCGTCTCGCCCGATGGGCACTTCGCCTGCAAGACATTGAGATCCGCGTGCTGTACCGCAATGGAAGGCAACATGCTGACGCCCACGCCCTGTCGCGCTCTCCCTTGCCTGACGACAATGCCAACAACTCAGCGTCTCACCTTGCCATTTCTTCGATTAGCATTCATACCATTGCTACTGAACAGCGCAAGGATCAATGGATTGCCTCACTGATAAACTTGCCGACTGATCCATCCACTCGCCCGTTGCGTCGTCAAGCCCACCATTTGGCCCTTCGCGACGACCTCCTACACAGGCGCAATTACAGCGGGGACGGCCGCCAGTGGCTACTAGTCATACCTCGCAGTCCGCGCTCTGACATATGCGAATTCTTTCATTCTGATCCGCAATGTGCGCACTCCGGGGTATCGAAGACTTACCACCGTATTTGCCAACGGTACTTTTGGCGCGGCATGTACCGCTACGTGCAGAAATTCGTTTGCTCCTGCATAGATTGTCAGCGCCGCAAAGCTTCAACGCACCTGTCGCTGGTAGGTCTGCAACCTCTACCTTGCCCTGCCAGGCCCTTTGGGTGCGTTGGCATCGATTTGTATGGGTCACTTCCACTAACGTCGGCTGGTAACGGCTGGGCCATTGTCGCTGTGGACCACCTCACACGATACGCCGAAACGGCCGCTCTTCCTGCGGCTACAGCGAGCGATGTGGCCTCCTTTCTGCTCCAACGATTCATTCTGCGACACGGTCCACCCCAGGAACTGCTCAGTGACCGAGGCCGTGTCTTCCTGTCTGAAGTCGTTGAAGCCATTCTCAGAGTGCAACGTTGTTCACTGCAAAACTGCTGCTTACCACCCGCAGGCGAATGGCCTCACCGAAAGCTTCAACCGTACGCTCGGCGACATGCTCTCTAAGTACGTCGCCGCCGATCACACAAATTGGGATTCCATTCTACCCTTCGTCACCTACGCATATAATACCGCCCCTCAGAGCACTACTGGCTTTTCACCTTTTTATTATATGGAAGGCACCCGTCACACACAATCGACACGATACTTCCGTACAGGCCAGATCCGTCTGAGTGGGCACCTATTTCTGCTACAGCCAAGCTTGCCGAAGAGTGTCAAGAGCTTGCAAAGACCTTTACTGCGCATGATCAACAGCGGCAAAAAAGCATTCGCGCTGACGCCAGCACTACTGCGCCCACGTTCCTCCCTGGAGCGCTCGTCTGGCTTTCGATCCCTACCACTGCAACTGGCCTATCTTCAAAACTATTGCCCAAATACGAAGGCCCCTACCGTGTCGTCAAATGCACTTCCCCAGTCAACTACTTGATTGAACCCATCGAACCATCTTCGGACATGCGCTGTCGAGGACGCGGCATTGTTAACGTGGAGTGCCTCAAGGCTTATCATGACCCGCTCATTGTAACTAGCTGTTAGGTCGCCAGGCGGCTCCCTTTTCGTACCCGGGGTAGTTGTGGTAAAGCCTTTGAACAGTGGGTCGTCCTCTCCAGCGCCTTCTAGTGGGTCGTCCTTTTCATAAGAAGAGCAGCTCATGCAGAGAGTCGGTCCCCGCATTGACTGTCACTGTCGTGAATCATCGCGGAGTGTCCGCCAATAAACCTCTTAACAAAGTAAAATTCCTCTAGTGAGCTAGTGAAGTGCCAGTCAGGAAGTAAACGACAAATAAGATAAGAACTACGTGAATATCGTTTTTTTTTATCTACACTTTACTTTTCCTTGATAACACCACGGTGTTGCATTCGCTATTCATCGTTCTGGCACTGCACAGAAGCACTTCCCGCTTTCTACGAAAGTGAGCCAACGCTGGAGAGATGCCGAGCAGACGACACAACACAAATGAATACATGTGTAGAGGCTTATCGACCCTCCTATTGGTGAAAGACCTTTTGAGCTTTATAGTGCTGAAAGTAACTTATGAGGTGGGGTATAGGTTGCACCCCATAGTGTTCTGAAACCTAAATTTCGCCGGGTAACATGCATACTGTACTCGAGCGATAATTGAAAGCAAAATTTTAGTTTAAATCGTCCTTATAAAGGCACCGATTTTGAAAACAGCCATGCATAGGCACTATAAAAACACTATAAAAGCTTTTCTTACCCCCTAATTCATGCTCATATGTGAAAATGGCACAATAGGAACACAAGAAACAAAATAGGAATTTGCTTATGTGGTTTCTAGGCATAACAACAGAAGTAAAAAAAAGGAAGAATACGCAAGCAAGCATACAGCAAAACCAAACGCCTGCTTTACTTGGTAAAACGGGCCCGGAGAAAGGGTGGCCAGGTTGTGTCCAGGGATGTGGCTGCTTGTTTTACTTTTGAAGCCCTGAGCACAGAACTACAGGTGGATGAAACTGGCTAAGTGTACAGAAGCAGAGGTAGAAAAGAGGTTGAAGTATCGTATTTACTTGCGTAGTGAACCCAGGTTTTTTTTTTCATCGAATTTGCCGTCAATTCAAGGTGGAAGGTTCATTAAGCAGGAGAAAAAGAAGCCACAGGAGGGAAAAACTGCGAAAGTTTCGCGAGAATGTTTTGTTGGTTTTGGCCTGTAAAGTGTGCGATTTTTTTTTTTTTTGTAGTCCGAAGCTCTTTGTTTTTTACCTTATCGAAAGTGCACGGATAGACACCGAAGTGCTGTCCAGCCGCTCGGTTCCAATGCTCCAGCGCACGCTGTTTGTAACCAGCTGTGTAGCTAGCATACTAGCCGCACGCGCTCTGTGCAGCAGGTGTCCCAACTAAATTCACGACAAACTCTGCAACGAAACCACAGAGCCTGATAGCGGCGCACAAACCATGCGATAGACATTGCGTGTGCATGACATGTCGTCGGCTCGGTGATTGTGGTTACTCGTTGATGGCCTCCGAGATGGCGGGCGCGTGGCCTTTTTCTACGCCACGTGCTCACCATTTCAGAGGTCACGGGCTTAGTTTTTTGCTTTGTTTTTGTGCCACTGCACTTGCGTGGCGCTATCAGAAAAGAGGTTTCTCCTGCATTCGACAGATGACACTTTGCCGCAATAGGCGCGACTTTCAAATTTTGATTGACGTCGTCCGGGCTGACGCTGCTTGCAACTGTTAAGCATGGTTGCAAAACTACGTTTTGACTTTATTGCATTATTTTGTTATAAGATGGCTTGATTTGACGTTTCGATCGTTATTGGCACTAGCTATCATACCGAAATAAAATAAATACAATAAAATGTTTAGTTTTGTTTTTTCAGGGTCAAGGTGGGGGTGGGTTCATCATGCGAGTAAATACGGTAGATGTTTGGATGCTTGCGCGCCTGGGGCGGCGGCAGGATTTTTTTTATTGGGGGGGGGGGGGGGGGGGGGGGGGGGGGGCGGGGGGAGAGCACACTGGATAGGTGAGTTCTTTCAGGGGGGGTCTAGGAGGTGGAAAATTTAGGTGTTTGTGTTTGGAATATGTCTGCTTTTTGGGGAGTCGAGGGAGGGAGGCGGAGGGAGCCAGGGGAAACTTTAGGGAGGGCTCTGGCCCTCTGCTGGCACAACCTCTTTTGCGTGCTTTGATAGTTTTGTAGAGGAGCTGCTCTTGCATGAATATCTTCCTATTATTCATAGGCTTCTTAGTGTTCTTTTTTTTTGTGTGCGTGTGGTCAAATAGTTGATGTTTATACACATTTATTTGATCTATTTTCAGCGTGTGACACTGTCGAGTGTTTCTTTGTGTCCTGCTTCAGTCGCACTAGTGAAAAACTGTGCAATTCCATGGTGTAACAAAATATGTGCGTGTAGGATTTTTTTTTAATATACACGTAACTAGCGCAGTCTAGTCCACAAGTCTAAGCAGTTTTGTTTATCTTGTATAATGTTGTAATCTTGTATAATCTTGTATAATGTATAATGTATAAAGTCTGCAAAAAAAGAAAAATTGCTGTTGTAGCAGTGCAAATGCATTTATTACTAAGCCAAGCGATTCCATCCATTATTGATTAAAAAAAGTACTTCAGCTCATATCCAAAAAAATAACAAGTTCTGAGTGTTGCGCATCGTAACTTCGACTTTTCTTGCGTGATAACAGCAACACGCGATAGCCACGCCCTTCAACCTGCCCGAAGCTTTTGGCGACTCTGCGAGCCGCGCCATCTGTATAGGTGGCGACATGAGGTGTGTCGCGCTCCACCCTGAGAGACCACTAGGACCTTCTAGTACATCATAATACGTTGTTCAGCACAATTGGATCCCCAAAAACAACTTCTACGTGTAAATGATTAGCCATATTTTTTAGACCTGTGATACCTGCAATAATATCTGGCAATTCTGGTTTGTCTTGTTTGTTGCATAACTGACGACATTTCAGAGGCGCAAGCGACTTTTTGGGCCGTTTTCGCCGTAGGATTGTAAATTCCCAGTCCTGCAAAATATTTGGCTCGTGTTTATGTGAGCCTCATGTACAGCTAGGCATTGTTTTCTACCTGAAGTGGCTCTCTCGCCTTGTCTCCATTGTTGTCAGCCTGGACCTGAATGCAGCTGAGTCTGGTGTGCAGCACAAGCCCCAGACACGAACCACGACAAGCCTTACGAGTGAGGCTACCACAGATAAGGAGGCTTGTGGCTGTTAGGAACCCCTGCATCTCCCCTCCCCCCTTCCGGGTAAGTACACGTAGGTCTGTGGCCAGCTAGGCAATCCCACTTAACCTATGCCAACCTAAGTTGCAAATATAACCGTGCTATAACCAAAACCTTTTTTAAGGGCTGCAGTTCCATAAGTGTGTTGAGCGTGTGCTAACATTCGAATCGTGCGATGTGTGGTGGTTGCAACAGCCATTTAAAGTTCTATTTTAGAAAAATTTAACATCTAACCACGTTGCCAACCTATTGATCGCTGAAGTGGAGTCTAACAAAAAAAAAAAAGCACCATCGTGGAAATTTGCAGACTGCTTCTCGGACAGCCGCGATTGTGTGCATTACATAGAAACTGTCGAATCCCATCTGAAATTTCACGCGCTGGGAAACATCAATTGTTCGGTATCACTGGCACGCATGCGATTTCAAAACATTGCCATTGAATCGCGAACCACTATTTGAGTGCTGCACGTGCCACCCTCGTTTTCATAAATGATATGTATTCCTTCCCTGCTCATGCAGCCACTCCCAAGTTTTTCATTTTTCATTGCCTCGTCGCAGTGGTCTAGTGGCTAAGGTACTCGGCTGCTGGCCCGCTAGTCGCGGGTTCGAATCCCGGCTGCGGGGCTGTATTTTTGATGGACAAAAAAACGCTGTAGGCCCGTGTGCCCAGATTTGGGTGCACGTTAAATAAGCTCAGGTGGTCAAAATTTTCAGAGTCCTCCGCTACGAGGTCTTTGATAATCACTTGGTGGTTTTGGGACGTTAAACTCCACATATCAATCGTGAACCACTGCACGGAAGTAGCCAGTAGACTGTCGGATCCCTGCGATTGTACTGCGTCAAAAAAAAAAAAAGTCTTGGTATTCACTAACTAGTATATCGCGGGCAACTGATTATGTTCATTTCGTCACTGTGTCAGTCGCTGCATTGGCTGTGTATCCTAGACTCCGCAGTAGTTTCAAAATGCTCTTCTGTGTGGCCACCGCGTGCCATTGGATGGTCATATAAGAATGCCAATCATTTCTGAACATTGTGAACAAGAAAGTAGACTTTGTGGTGGTCATTATAGGCAATAAGTTCTGTGGCGCTGTAATTATGGAGCTGTAACTCTTGTCAAAGTAAAGTTAATTCGCACCCCAAGAATAGCTACATGGTGTCTATTTTGCATGCTTGAAACTTGTCTATGAGCATTGCAATGGAAAGAAACTTCAGGTTCACATTGACTGCGATTTTCAGGCAGCTCCGTGTCGACTGAGCTTGTCGAAGCTGCGGCCCTTCAAAAGCTGTATGTGATCTAGGCATATTTAGAAATTACCTTAAAGCCAGCAAAAGTGGATCACTGAAGGGAAGAAACCGCCTGCAGCACAAATTTCACTTTCTACAAGAGTTCATTGTTTGCCTTATTTTAACAGGAAAAGGTTTTATGGCAGGGTCCACAAAGACTTCACTGGCATATTTTTGTCCTGGAAATAATTCGGATGACAAAAAAACTAAATGAAAAATTTTGCCAGTTTGGACGACCTAGGAATTGATCTGCAACCTCTCGATCTGCGACAATACTGCCAGCCACTCGACCATTGCCCCATGGGCACTCGTGCATGAGGCTTTGCAAAGACCTTTTATCTTTTGCATCTTCCTTTCAGAGAGACCTTGGGGGGGAGGGGGGTGCACATCAGCCATATTTTCGATGGAAGCAAAATGCTTGAGGCCCTGTAGCCTAGATTTAGGTGAACTTAACGAATGCCAGGTGGTCAAAATTTTCGGAGCCCTCCGCTACGGTATCTCTCATAGTCATATTATAATGGGGAGTATTTAATAAGTTAACGCCGGTTGGCCTAACACTGCACAGTGTGCAAGGATGTAGGACAACAGGGCAGTCCAGACATGGCCCCACAACGTCGTCTTCATCCCTTCTGCGTCATTTTTGCACCCGTGCCTGAGGTACCTTTCTATACCCGTGACATTACCCTGGTGCCTGCTGTTATTAGACAGACGGGTCACTTTGATAGGGCTTCAGGCGAGAAACATGCACAATGTCACTTCCGGGTGTAACAGTGGGGTTCGTAGGAGGAGAAATTTCATAGGTGACAGGTGTGACTTGGCGCAGAACTCGGTAAGGCCCAATGTATTGCGATGAAAGTTTCTCGCACAGGCCGACACGACAGGATGGCAGCCACAGTAGCACGAGAGAGCCCAAAGAAAAATCGACATCCCTATGTAGGCTGTCGTAGAGTGACTTTTGTGCTCTCTGGGACGATGAGAACTTGGTGCGGGCTGCTGTACGTGCGATCAGAGCACGGGAGCTGGCATCTTGTGCGTAGGAAGTGGTGGACAAAAGGTCATGCGCAAGCAGGGTATCGAAAGGTAGTAAGGGATCACGGCCAAAGAGAAGATAAAATGGTGAGTAGCCGGCAGTTTCATGACACGACGAGTTGTAGGCGAAGGTTACGAACGGAAGGGCAGTGTCCCAATCGAAGTGGTCGTCAGAAACATACATAGCAAGCATGTCTGTCAGTGTGCGGTTGAGGCAATCAGTAAGTCCGTTAGTCTGAGGATGGCAAGAAGTCGTAAAGTTGTGCCACGTAGCACAGGATTTAAAGAGGTCGTCAAACCACACGAGACAGGAAGCAGCGGCCACGGTCTGTGAGTAGGTGAGAAGGAGCGCCATGCTGAAGGATGATGTCATAGAGTAGGAGATCTTCGACGCCCGTTGCGCAGCTGGTCGGTAGCGCTCTAGTAATTGCATACCGATTGGCATAATCCCGTACTGCTATCCTTTTGTTTCCCATCGCCGAAGTTGGGAAGGCACCTAACTAATCCAAACCCACATGATGAAACGGCTCGGCTAGGACTTCAATAGGTTGAAGGTGACCGGCAGGGAGAGACGTAGGCTTCTTCCGACGCTGGCACAGGTCACACGCTGCAACATAGCAGTGAACGGAACGATAAAGGCCCTTCCAGAATACCCGTTGGGGGACGCGGTCATAGGTTCTGGAGCCACCTAAATGTCCGGAAGTTGGGGCGTTGTGAAGTTCTTGCAAGATGTCCTTGCACAGATGACGTGGGATGAAGAGCAAAAGTTCTGCGCCATCGGGCTGTAAGTTGCGGCGGTACAAAACGTTGTCTTCAAGAAAAAATAGGCTGAGAAAAAAATAGGCTCAGTGAAGGGTCTTTATGGCCAGATTGAAGACGGTTAATCATCGATAGCAGCGATGGATCTCGGCGTTGTTCGTCGGCTATTTGCAGAAAATCTATTATGACTAGGATGTTGGCATCAGCTTCCAACTCGGAAGAGTCGGGTGGATCAACAGGGTGTCGAGATAAGCAGTCCGCATCGCTGTGAAGCTTCCCAGACTTGTACACTACAGAGAACGTGTACTCCTGCAATCGCAATGCCCATCGCCCGAGTCTTCCTGTAGGATCCTTAAGGGTTGACAGCCAGCAGAGCGCATGATGGTCTGTGATGATTGCAAACGTGCGTCCATATAGGTACGGATGAAATTTTGCGATAGCCCGAATGAGAGCCAGGCACTCTCGCTCAGTAATTGAATAGTTTCTTTCCGACTGAGAAAGTAGGCGGCTAGCGTACGCTATGACACGGTTTGTGCCATTCTGCATTTGTGCGAATATTGCCCCTATGCCATGGCCACTTGCGTCGGTGCGAAGCTCCGTTTGAGCGGCTGGGTCAAAATGAGCCAACACAGGTGGTGATGTGAGCGCAGAAATCAACGACGCAAAGGAATGTTCTTGGTCTTAATGCCAGGAGAAAGCCACGTTCTTTTTGAGGAGATCCATGAGAGGTCGAGCAATTTCCGCGAAGTTGCTGACAAAACGGTGGAAATATGAACAAGAGTCCCAAAAAGCTGCGGACTTCTTGCGTAGAACGTGGGACTGAAAACTCTCACACCGCACGGACTTTATCAGGGTCGGGTCGTACACCAGTAGCGTCAACAAGGTGGCCATGTAGCTTTATCTGACGGCGCCAAAAGGTGCACTTAGACGCGCTTAGCTAGAGGCCAGCAGAGCGAAAAACGTCAAAAATGGCCGACAGATGTGGAAGATTGCTTTCAAAGGTTGGCGAGAAAATGATGGCATTGTCTAAATAGCACAGGCACGTCGACCATTTAAAACCGCGAAGGAGGGAGTCCACTATGCTTTCAAAAGTTGCTGGCGCATTGCACAACCCAAAAGGCATGACTTTAAATTGATAAAGCTCGTCGAGTGTTATGAATGCCGCCTTCTCGCGGTCGCAGTCATCGACTGAAATTTGCCAATATCCAGATTGTAGGTCCAGGGAAGAGAAATACTTGGCACCATGAAGGCAGTCAAGCGCATCATCAATTCGAGGTAGAGGATAGACATCTTTCTTGGTTATTCGATTGAGATGGCGATAGTCGACGCAGAACTGCCAGGTGTTGTCCTTCTTTTTAACAAACACAACAGGTGATGCCCAAGGAACAGCGACATAGAAAGGTACACAGCGGCCTGAGGCGGTAATTGTAGACACTCCACGGACCGTAGCCGTGTGAAAGCTGCAGGAGGGATATCGGAGTACAAAGGCAACTCTAGCTGTAAAGTGCCCGTTGAACAAGTGCCCGTTGAACAATCGATGAGGGCTGAATGCGTGGTCAAGAAGTCAATGCCCAGAATCACGTCGTGTGGGCAAGCGTCTAGAACAGCGAAGAGGACTGAAGTGTGAAGGCCGGTAACAGTGACGCGGGCAGTGCACATACCAAGAACTGATGTTCGGCTGTCGTCGGCTTCTCGCACATCGAAGACATGGCAGGGGTAAGAACTTTTTTCAGGCAGAATTGAAGATGTGAACTCATAATGGATATGTGGGCACCAGTGTCTATTAGAGCTGTAACGGTCAGGCTATCGATAAGAACACCAAGTAAATTTTCTCTGGAATTAGTGGTCGGTAAAGGTTTTTCGGTCCGAGTTGTCAATGCAGCGCCAGCTTCAGTAGCTGCATCTGTTAGTTTTTCGAGAAATGCCCAGAATACGCAGGTGACGGGGAGCGA